AGGGAGCCGCCGGACAAGGGAGGACTGTGGAGAAGCGAGACAGGACAGGACCCCCAGAGGGGTCAGCCAGAGACACCGCAACTGGCCGACTAAGCGGCGTGAGTGTGGTGCGGTCTCGAAAGAAGGAGCGAGACGCCCCAGAGTCAAGGGTGAAGGTGAGGGAGGCCGAAGCCGACGTAGTACCTGAGAGCGCAGACTCACCAGTACCTGAGGACGCAGACACACCAGCACCTAGAGCAGCAGCGTCGCACGCACCTAGGGCAGCAGCCTTACCAGTACCTAGAGTAGCAGTCTCAATGCCCGGATCGGGCGGGAAACACCGGTAACAGTCACCCTCATCACTAATAGACACAGCATACATGGGAGAAAGAATAGCATCAAATTCAAGATCAAAGATGGCCACACCCGCCCTAGACAGCTCGCCCCAACGAGGGATCGCTGAGGCCTTCGGGAACTGGTGACGCCACGCGTCCGTCAGGCGGCCAAAGCAGCGCTGGGTGGGGTGCGCACCCCCACACTGCTCACCTGCACCGTCGCCGGTGCGCAGGACGTAGGTGCACGGACCAAAACCCCCACCCCGCTGGCGTACAGTGTACCACTCACGGAGCTGCTGAGGTGACAGGGTCTCACGACCGCGCGAATGCTGCTGGCGCGAGCCACCACCGGAGCCACTCCTCTGCGACGACCCGCGACCAGCTCCACCGCCACCCCCACCGCCTCCGCCTCCTCCGCTGCCTCCACCACTGCCGCCGCCTCCGCCGCCGCCTCCACCGCCGCCTCCTCCGCCACCTCCGCTCCCACCGCCACCGCCGCCGCCGCCTCCGCCTCCACTGCCGCCACCGACCCCTCCACCCCCACCTCCACTCCCACCGCCACCCCCACTCCCCCCACCGCCTCCACCTCCACCTCCACCGCCGGCTCCTCCAGCTCCCTTGCCCCCCTTGCCCTTGCCAGGGCGGCGTCTCCCGCTAGGGGCAGACGCCGCGCCGACCGACTCAAGACCAAGGAGGTCGGCCGCAGCAGCAGAGGCAACAGAGGGCAGCAGGGGGGAGGGAGAACACCCCTCAAAGATGGGGGTGCGCGGGTCACCTCGAGAGGCTCCTACAGCGACGATGCTCTTCTGTATCGCTAGGAGGGCCTTTTCGAGGAGGTCTACGGTGAGCGTGGTGGGACAGACTGAGAGAAAGTGGTCCCTGACTACGCGAAGGGAGTCAGGGAGGCGAGTGACTAGGAAGTACAGAGTGATGTACATGGAGGGGGGGGTTCGTGGCGCAGAAGTCAGCAGGGAGTGCAGCGCGGTAGCGAGTGTCACTAGTGCGGAGGTGCGTGATGAGGTTAGCTACGGTGGGAAAAGCAGCAAGGTCAGGGAAGAGGTACGGCAGCATGAGACGGCTCAGTGCAGCAGTGGCAGGGGAGGAGTAGCGCGTGACTATAGCGTCGTACAAGGTCTGAGCACTCTTGTACTGGCTAAATTGCGCACGCTCGGAGGTAGGGAGGTGGCGACGCACAGCAAGACGTGCAGCAGCGTCGCGCGTGGCCCACTGGGAGCGAACAGTGGCGTCAGTATTAGCAGCAGGGGCAGGGTAAGCGCCAGAGGTAAGGTCAAAGAGAGAGAGGCCGTCTGCCCTATCGCACTGTAGGAACAGCTGCAGGTCGTCGACCCAGACCTCAAAGTCTACGGCTCGCCCCTCAGCGTCAAACGTGAGGACACTAGGGGTAGCCATGACTACAGATGACGAGCAGTGTAAACAGTAGGGGAGGGAGGGCCGTGTAGGGGGAGAAGGCACTGTGCTCACCAGACAGGGCAGCTCTGACGGTCCAGCTGCTGGGCGGCTCGGTGGTAGAGCGGCTCGGCGGCAGGGCGGCTCGGCGGCAGGGCGGCTCGGCTTCCGGGCGGCTCGGCGGCAGGGCGGCTTGGCGGCAGGGCGGCTCGGCTTCCGGGCGGCTCGGCGGCAGGGGGGCTCGGCGGCAGGGCGGCTCGGCGGCTGGGCGGCTCGGCTTCCGGGCGGCTCGGCGGCAGGGCGGCTCGGCGGCAGGGCGGCTCAGCGGCAGGGCGGCTCTCGTGCAGGGCGGCGCGGCGGCGCTCTCGTGTAGGTATGGCGGCGGGTGAGCCGCAGTTAGGGCGGCGGGTGCGCCGCAGGTAGGTTGGCGGGTGGCCGAAGGTAGGGCGGCGGGTGCGCCACAGGTAGGTTGGCGGGTGGCCGCAGGTAGGGCGGCGGGTGCGCCACAGGTAGGTCGGCGGGTGGCCGCAGGTAGGGCGGCGGGTAGGGCCGCAGGTAGATCGGTGGAGGGCCGTAGGTAAGGGCGGCGACGGGCCGTAGGTAAGGGCGGCGACGGGCCGTAGGTAGGGCGGCGACGGGCAGTAGGTAAGGGCGGCGGCGAGCCGGTGCAAGGGCGGCGCGAAGCCGCGGGTAAGGGCGGCGACGGGCCGGGGCGGCGCGAAGCCGAAGGTAAGGGCGGCGACGGGCCGGGGCGGCGCGAAGCCGCAGGTAAGGGCGGCGACGAGCCGGGGCGGCGCGAAGCCGCAGGTAAGGGCGGCGACGGGCCGGGGCGGCGTGAAGCCGCAGGTAAGGGCGGCGACGGGCCGGGGCGGCTCGAAGCCGCAGGTAGAAGCGGCGCGAAGCCGCGGGAAGGGCGGCGACGGGCCTGGGCGATGCGAGGCCGCAGGTAGGGGCGGCGCGAAGCCGCCGGTGAGGGCGGCGCAAAGCCGCGGGTAAGGGCGGCGACGGGCCGGGAAAAAGGCGGCGCGCCGCAGCCGCTAGGGCGGCTCGACGCGACCGTAAGGGCAGCGCGACGGGCCGCTAGGTGCGACTCGCGGGCCGCTAAAAAAAAAAGGCAGGCGCGACTCGAGGCGCGCTTCGGTGGGCCCAAGGAACAGTCCCTAGGAGGGGACCTGCTCTGATTCCATGTTAAAATGCGAACGAGGATGCATTAACTATCAATGAAGTGGGTACATATAGGAAACCCTAAAGGGGTTGTACCCCCTATGGGATACCCCACTATAGCCTACACAACAGCATAAGCTATAATGTTCTGACAATGCGTCCAGCGCTCTCTCTTGTCCCGGTGCAGGTTGTTGTTGTGGCATGAAGCTGACGGAGCCGCGCTGGGGCTCGTACGGAGCGAAGGTAGGTTGTTGATGTTGATTCCCGCGTGCGTAGGATGAGCCATCGAGACTCATGGGCGTCACGTTGTTGTTGTTATTGCTGTTGTTTGATTGCGCAGGTACTCCTTGTTGATGCTGCTCGTAGAAGGACATGAAGGAGAAGAATTTCTCCATCATACTTGGATCGAAGCCCGCGCCTTGGTTTGCGGGTGTTTCCGTAGACCCAGCTGCTGGTCTCGTTGTTGTCCCTTCCTCTGTCTGTAGGCCAGAGGCAGGAGGTGGAGTAGGGGTAGTACCGGGAGAGCCGTTGGAGGAGCTCCTCTCCTTTCTAGCAGACATGTCTTCTTGATGTATTAAGTGTTGAAAAAGAGTAACTTTTAACTCTAACCAGCTCTCATACCATGTTGGGCTGAAACGCCCTTAGGATCTTTTTAGTAGAGTTAAAGTCTTGAGTAAATGATGTAATAGCGGAAGCGTTGAAATAAGTCCTTGAACCACCTTGCGCTAGTATGTGAGGGCAAAGTAAGTTAATTAAAGCAAAGAGATACAGGAATATAAATATATGAGTACATAGAATATGAAGAGACATTATAACTACTTTACTACCGTATCGCCCCGGATATAGGCGCCGTCCGATTAAAGGCGCCGGCACTTCTATCTGGAGCATGGCGCTTATGGCCGGAATTCGATTATAAGCGCCCCCCCTTGAAAATGCTTTACTTATTATAAGCGCATGCCTAAATTTATTTTTCATTCCTGATTAAAACGGTAACGAACTTCATATTTCTAGCGAGTCACATCACATTTTCACTTTGTTTGACTTTCGCGGACCTCACTGGTTGCGCGTCCAGTCAGTATGAGCTGGCACGCGGGCAAAATGACGCGCCAAAGCTCAGTGCACCGTCAGAAATTCGCCCTCGCGCGATTCTGATTCTGGACGCTGTAAAGTTTTAATTCGGTTCAACTTACGAGACTGAAATGTACATGTTGGTGCGTTTGAATTGTATTTCTGTATTTGTCTTTATATAAGCGCCGGCGCTTATGGCCGTTATTCAATTACAAGCGCCACCCCTAAAAAAATCGATTTTATTATAAGCGCCGTGGCGCTTATATCCGGGGCGATACGGTATTGCGGTTCGATACAGTGCGACTCGGGCAAACTGCTCAATGTCGAGTCAGTTGTATGTCCTTGCTGTCGCGCTGCATTTGTCAGGTCAAAGGTCGCTGACCTTTGACTTTCCCATAACCTCCAGCGGTTACATCAACCTCCGAGGGTTGACTCGCTGGTGCTTCGATTTGCGCTGCTTCGCTTGTGTCTTGATGTTTCGACACGACATAAGCGCTTTAGGCTATTTGTTCCCAACAATTCTGACTGGACCCACTGGCAATGAGCGGAGCGAGGGTGAAAGATATCGAGATTCAAAATGTGGGAATGGAAATGCCAGTTTTGTTACAGCAATTTCAGTAAAATTATAGAATCAACAAACGAATGGTGGCGCTTGTAATACACAAGCCTTCAAGGGTGTGCTTATAATCGAGGATTGGATATACGGTAAGCGCCCTCATCCTTTTGTAAGCGCCGGCGCTTATCCGATGCCTACGTTTCTATCCCGGGGCTTACAGTATTTAACCACACGAAGCTGATACGAGGTGTAGGAACACGCCCTTATGATAAGACACGGATCTTGTAAATGATAGCCAACAGTTAAGACCCACCCCCCCCCCCCCCCCCCCCCCCCCCCCCCATTTTTGAGGTGGGATTCTTATAATACCGGTACATCCAGGTATTTATCCGGGGTATTATGGTAGTTGAATTTCGCCCAATGATGACGTCCCTGGGTAAAACCCTCCAATAACAGGTTAGGCGAAACGAAAGAAAGGGAGTATGAGCCGGTCACAGGCCGAATGTCTCCTCCACGGCCCTCCAGGCCTCCTCAAGAGCAGCCATGAGGTGATCCATGTGGCACGTGACAGGGGTGTCCTTGCCGCCATCGCACAGCAGCAGGTAGTAGTGCACGCTGCACACACTGCTCAGGTGGTGGTAGCACGCATTCGCCATGCCTCTGGGCCGCAGCTCCAGCAGAGTGGCGTTGCGCGGCATGAAGATGAGGTTGGTGAGCGCTGCCCCGTGCACCCCTATCAACAGCAGCGCGCGCCGGAAGAGGCGGTGCGCTGTGGCTCCCAACGGCGTGGGGGACAGGGTGAGTGGAGACGCACAAGGAGATCCAATGTAGGCACTCAAAGGGGAGGAAGTGAAAAGGGCATGGGGGAAGGAGATGATGGCAAGGCTGGGTGTGGGGGATGGGTCGGCATCGGTGACATGTGGTCTTTCCCTATAAAGCATGGATCGAGCAAGGAAAGGAAGATAGGCTGTGGCATTGGAACATTCAGTAACTCAGGCGAAACAAAGGCGAGAATTCACAGGTATGTGCAGGAGTCAAGGAACAGGGGATTTGTGGGAGGCGGTTGGAAGGGAATATGGAAGGCAGGGGATAGCCATTCTAATCAATGACCCTGGCGCACACATGATGGCCTGGGCCTCACCGGCACTGATGTCCAGAGACCCATCGAACACCACCACTCGGCCCACTGCACTGCCGTCCTGTGCCCCCCGCGCGCCCTCCACCACGCCCCTCACCCCCTGCACCAGCTCCTCAAAGCCTTCCAGCGAGCGCGTGCCCATGCGCCTCGCCACCACCACCACCCAGTCGCCCGGGGGAGATAGGGGGTACGAGACAGCCGGCTGTGTGAGGGTGGACGCTGGACGGCGCACCAAGGACCAATCAGGGCGCATCATGGGGAGGCCATTGGGAGGCAGGAGGTGGTTGTGGCGCAGGCGGTGCCAGAGAGAGGGCGAGGGGTGGCCGCACCATGTGTAGAGGGGCTGGGGTGGTGGGGGAGACAGGGAACAGGCGAGGTCAGGTGGGTGGTGGCAGCAAGAGGTAAGAGCGGGTGCACAACATGTGATAGAAGCGGTGATGAGCGGTGACGGGGGAGGAGTGAGTGGCCACAGTGCAGAGCAGGCATGCGATGGGCGGTAGAGAGTGTGCGGGGCTAGAGGCAAGAGGCGAAAGGCATACGATGTGAGTGAGACGCGTTGACGAACACGGCTGATCGCAACAGCCAAGAACCTTCATGGGCGCTGCTAAGGTGGCGCACAGGGGGGTGGAGCAGCCATGAGGTGATCTGTGTGGAGCGAGACACATGGCTGATAGAAAAATCGAAGAACCTGCAATACTTGCGGGGTGCAGTGCACCTGGTAAAGCTGCATGGTTGCAGTGAAGCTCAGAGTACGATTCTTCCGTGCGGTACACCTCCCACACACTGCTTTCAGCGTGCATCTCCCATCCACTTGCCCAACCCCCTCTCCAACCACCCTGTTTGTTCAGGTCACAGGCGCACCTGGTAGGGCGCACCTGGTAGGGCGCACCTGGTAGGGCGCACCTGGTAGGGCGCACCTGGTAGGGCGCACCTGGTAGGGCGCACCTGGTAGGGCGCACCTGGTAGGGCGCACCTGGTAGGGCGCACCTGGTAGAGGCGCACCTGGTAGGGCGCACCTGGTAAGGGCGCACCTGGTAGAGGCGCACCTGGTAGAGGCGCACCTGGTAGAGGCACTCCTGGTAGAGGCGCACCTGGTAGAGGCGCACCTGGTAGAGGCGCACCTGGTAGAGGCGCACCTGGTAGAGGCGGCGGGCGAAGAAGAGTTGGTGGTTGGGAATTACACGCGCGTTGAGGTCAATGGAGTCGAGCCCCAGCACAAACGACCCCACCGCCTCCATGAACTCCACCTGCCGCCCGCCCATGCGCACACACCACGCACGCCACCACACACACATGCACGGCGCCACACACCATGCATGCAACCACACACACATGCACGCATGCACAATTCCTTGCCAAACCTCCCTGGCTCCTCACACAACTTCCGCTAGGAATCGCAAGCACTGTCACAGTGAACGCAAGCACAAATGCAGGTGAGGAGGTGCGTTGGTGTGCATAGCAGCGCGACCTGCAATAGCTGCAGGGCGACTGGCACGCCTTGGATGTGGGGGTGCAGGGCGCGCAGCGCGAGGAAGAGCGGCAGCAGCTCGACGAGGCCGTGGTAGAACTGCCACGTGTTCCAGTGCGCCAGGTTCACCACTGCCTCGTACTCCTCCACCACCGTGCCCGCTGCGTGCACAAACTGGTCACAGTGGGGCACGGCATGGTCGAGGAACAATTGTTAGAGCAGCAAGTGGGTGCACATGGCTTGTGTAACATGGCAGGGGCACACGGGAGGAGGGCATGTGATGAAGACGACATTGCGCGCACGAGGATGGCCATTGCCACTGGGGCCCCATGCAAGCAACGTCACTGCATTGGAGGGGAAGCACCACAGCAGCGCCACCCACAAGAGCACCAGCCATCCAATGAGCGCTCGCCCACGTGTGCGTGCCCCTTCGCTGCCACCTGCTCGCGCCCCCCATGCCATCCCTTCCCCCGCACAGCACGGCCTCACCTGGTGGTCACTGCCGCAGCCGCCTCGGTCAAAGTAGAGGTGCTGGTTGAACGCCTGGCCGCGCGCGTTGACCCAGACGTTCTCCAGCTCGAACACCTGGCTCGCCCACGGCCACACCGCCGCGTCGTCCACCGCGTGCGAGCACGCGGGGTCGAAGCGCACCTGCTCACCACGCGCCCTGATCCGTGGGCAGTTCACCGGCGCCTCCACCGCGTGCGCTGTCTCCTCGCCCACACCAGGGTCGTAGCACGCGTGCACCTGTGATGCTCCCCACTGCTCCCCGAGCCCCTCGCACTGCTTCATCGTGGGGCATGGCGCCCCCCGGCACCCCAGCAGCACCTCGCGCCGTCCCTGCCGGGGGTGCAGCTTGTCGAAGGGGTTCATGTTCACACGTGTCAGGTTCTCATACGCCAGCGCCGCGCTGAGGGTGCTGCTGCCCGTGCTGTCCCCGCTGTGCAGGTACCGCCTCGCATCGCGCACCCACGGCTTCTGCTGCTTCAGCCGTCGCTCCCACGCCTTCCGCCTCGGCCTCCTCCACACCTTCCCCCGCCACAACCCCGCCAGCCGCCGTCGCCCTTCCCCCGCCTTCTGCCGAATCTGCGCGCGCTCCCCACGAGCGAGCTCGCCGCGCTGCGCCCCCCACCCGTGCCCTTGAGGGGGGAGGGCGAGCGCGCCGTGCGGAGATGCTTTGGACAATAGGGCCTGGGAGGAGCGGGCGGGGTTGATAGGCGCAGAGAGGTTTGATTCGCAAGCGGGCGACGGCTGCTCGCGCGGGGAGGACCGCCGCACGCGCTGCCGCCATGCCGAGGTGGCGCCGGTGGCAGGGGACCCGCTGGACGCGTCGAGGGATGGCAGCGCGAGGGGGTCACGACGCGCGAATGGGGGAGGCGACGCGGCGACGCTGGATCGTCCCGCTCCACTGCCAATGCGCGCTATTTTCGAGAGGCGCCTTCTGTCGCAGACTGGTGCAAGGTCACCGTCACGATAGTATGCGGATGAGAGGCGGGGCGGGTGCCAACCCGTGTGGGTGTCGGGCGAGGCCGCATGGGCATGACACAACAACACGCACGCCAGGAGACACACGCACGATACGGACGAGTGCACAAGGAACGAGGTCATGGATGGATTGGGGGATGTGGGGTGGGGGGGAGGTGAGCAGAGCATACGGGAGAGAGAGGTTGGAAGGGCAGATTAGGGCGTGGAACATTGCCAACGATCAACGCGATGGTCGGTCCCTGATCGCTGAGGTGAGGTGTAACGCGAACCCCGCCAACGAATTTGGACAAAACGGGCTTATAAAGAAACGCCCTTAAAATCACAATAAAGACCCGGGGTTATAACAAACGCCCACAAAAGGGTCTATAGTAGGCTTATAAAACGCCAATACTAAACACACACAAGATAAACTAGTCCCTATGCTAGCCTTGAGTCTTGAAGACTCTATGGGTGAGGCTTTGGGAGTGATAGGGTAGCTTCACCAAGAAGGTTGTGAAGCATAGAGCACCTGTGAAGAAGAATGCCTATTCTTAGAGAGAATATCACGTTTCCCAATTGGTAAATTGGAGTTGGGAAAGAGGGAATGAGCCTTGGAGCTCCAAACCCCCTCCACAATACTCCTTGGGGATCTCCACCTCCTCCATGGCAATACGGGCAAGGAGCTTCTTAAAACAGCAGTATACGTTTTGTTACGACATGAAGTTTTATGAGAAGGCATTCCTGTATGCTGCAGGAGCCGACTCTACCGAGTACGAAGTCGAGGAGTCAGAAGAGTCGAAGCGACACAGCAACCGTCTGAACAGGACCGATGCAAGCAAGAACATTTGAACTGAAAAGGCGGGAACATGTTTGAAACGGGTTCCCGCACCGCACGGTTTGAATTTCGCTGCAATAAGAGAATGTACCCCTTAGAGTACATGGCTAGTCTAGGTCGTCTTGCATTCCTTTGTATTTCTATATAAACCCTATGTATGCATGCTATAATTAATCTCAGTAATTTACATTAACTCTAACCTGAGTTCACTACTTCCGCTGCGACACTACATGCGATCAACCCTGAACAATCCTTTCGCTAAGTCAACTTCAGATTGTAACATGGTATGAGAGCTGCTCAGCGATTCTTCGCGACAACACTTACGTAAAATTCGTCGAACCTAAATCTGGCGAGCGGCACACGCTCCAAGCCAAGATGGCCGGAGGATCCGGATGCCAAGCCAATCTGACGGCCGAAGGGCAAACCAACCCGGCTGCGACAAACGAGGCGACAACCACGATCGGCACTGCCGCGCTCGAGCAGTTATTTGCTCGACTGTCAACTATGGAGAACTCCAAGATTTGCGCAAAGGCGATGCGGGAACCACTTCCCAACCAGCTCAACCAGGACAACCGGCTGCGAAAAGCCACGATACCACCGCGCACGACTTCTCCCTCGACTCAGACAAATCTGCAACAACTGCCGCTCGTCCAAGCGACAAAACAATCAACTCTGCGCAAGCACGCTTCCTTAGTGTGTCAAAAATCAAGACTACCGCCGCGTTTGACAGCAAAGACTTTTATACATGGAGTTTTGAGCTTGAGCTCCTACAGACAACGCAGATCCACCACTACTTCGACGGCTCCTATCCTAAACCGGTGGAAGACACCGAAGACGCTCGGGCTCAATACTACAGTGAGTCACTTATGGCGTATAGCGTTCTGCTGCGCAACATGTCATCTGCAGAACAGCTCGACATTCGCTCCTACAAAGAGAGCGCCGCTCCAACTCTGGAAGCTTGGAAGCACCTCGTGGAGGTATATCAGCCGAAGGATTCTGTCACTGCCAGTCGAATCTTGCAACAACTCATAGAGACCAAAATGGGGCACGGGGAGAAAGCAAATAGCTACATCAACCATTGTCAGAACATTCATGATCAAATTGTAAAGAGCGGAAGTTCTATCTCGGAGGAGATCTTCGCCAACATCATCCTCTAGGGACTTGGGCCCGAGTGGAATGTTACGAACAAGAAGTGATTGCACTATGAAAGTTGGAGTACAAGTAGGAAACCCCAACTTTGTGTACCCCTTAAAGGCTAACCCACTATAGCCTAGACAACAAAACACATCTAGTGTTTGACACACCCCCATAGGCAAAGTGGGGGAGAACAAGGGGTCACAAGACCATTCAAGAAAGGCAAACAAGCTCAGGGTGGATCACAACGTCACCACACACTCCGAGCACAAGCAAAGGGCCACAAGGCCAGTTCACATGCAAAAGTATATATAATTAGTACAGACAGCAAGGGTGATCTCAACCTAGCAGAGCAAACAGGCAGGAGTATATATAGAGATCACAGTACAGGCAAAGCCTACAACAAGTGAGACAAAGGGGGCACTAGCCCCAACAAAGTACAGAAGCACTAATAATCACCAGGCTGAAGTGCCTTGGTGAAAACATCAGCGGTGTTGGCCTGAGAGGCCACGTAGCGCAGACGAAGCTAACCACGCTGCAGAAGCTCACGTGCAAGGAAGTAACGGAGAGCGATATGCTTCGTTCTGTGCTCCAGTCTGTGCTCCTGACACAAGGCAATGGCAGCCTTGTTGTCAACGTACAGCACTGGAGGAGAACTAGGCCACTCTCCAAGGTCGGTCAGCAGGTAGGTGAGCAAGCGTAACTCCTGTGCAGCCATGCCTGTGGCGTAGATCTCAGCCTCACAACTGGAGCTGACAACCGAAGACGAACAAGTAGAGCGCCACGAAACTGAACCAGAGCCAAGGCTGAAGGTGTAACCCTGTGACGACTGCTGAGTAGCCTGGTCGTCAGCCCAAGAAGCGTCTGAGTGCCCAGTGAGAACAACTGAGCTCCCTCCTCCAAGCACGAGCCCCATACCTGATATACTGCACAAGTAGCGCAATACCCTCTTTGCAGCATCCCAGTGCACCTTTCGTTGACGACCATGACCCACGTAGCGAGTCAGAAGGCCAAGAGGGTATGCTAGGTCAGGACGAGTGCAAGTCATCAGGTACATGAGGCAACCAACTAGCTCTGGGTAAGGACCACTCGACTCTACGGACTCATCCGAAGGTAGAGCAGAGAGCGAGTGACCTATAGCCAGAGGAGTGGCCTGTGCTGAGGACCAGGTGAAGCCGAAGCGCTGAAGTCGACAAGCTCAGCAACTAGGGCAGACGTAGCAGCAGACTCAAAGGAAGGGTCAGTGACAGCAGTGGCCAGGAGACGCGTGACAGTAGGACTGGCAGTACGAAGAGAGTCAGACTCAGGGTCAGCAAGAGCAGGAAGAGAGGACTCAGGAGGAGACGGCAAAGGGACACGCTGTGGAGCAGTGGAGGGACGCAGTGACATCCGGTGTGTGCCAGGGACTGGTGGCAGACGCTCACGTAGAGTACGGCGACTGGTGGAAGTAGTACGAACAGGGGACTCAGGACGGCACACAGGTGACACAGCGCGAGACTCCGGCTGACGACGCTCTGTGAGACCGCCTGTAGGACCAGTGTAGGGAGAAGGACGAGGAAGTGGCGAGGCAGGCGGTAGCTGTGACTGCAACTGGACCGGTGGTGGACACTCTACAGAGGGAGGCGGACAAGGCGGAGGTGACTGACCAAAAACCTGCTGAAGGAGTGGAACAAAGTACGGCCGCGGCCGTGAGGTGCCCCCTGCAGCAGTAGAGACAACACCAGAACCTCCAGTAGCTCCAGCAGCACCCCCAGCACCTCCAACGCCCGGGTCTGCAGCATCAGCAGCAGCTCCAACGCCAGGGTCCGCAGCATCAGCAGTAGCTCCAACGCCCGGGTCCGCAGCACCAGCAACAGCTCCAAATCCAGGGTCCGCAGCACCAGTAGCAGGGTCCGCGACACTAGGAGCGCCACTCTTGAGACTGCACCGTTGTGCGTACCACTCACGAAGACGCTGGGTAGAGGGCAGCTCCCGCCTAGGCGAGGAAGCACGAGTACCAGCTCCAGTAGCACCCCTAGCTCCAGAGGCACTTCTCCTGAGGCTGTAGTACTGTAAGTACCACTCACGCAGCTGCTGTGAGGAGAGAGCTCCTCCAGGCGCAGCACTCCCAGGCTCAGCACCCCCAGACACAGCACCAGCAAGCTCCGTACTCCCAGGCTCAGTACCCCTAGACTCCGCACCCCCAGGCTCAGTACCCCCAGACTCTGCACCCCCAGGCTCAGCACCCCCAGGCTGAGCACCCCCAGGCTGAGCACCCCCAGGCTCAGCGCCCCCCCCCTGACCCCCAAGCTCAGCACCCCCAGTCTCCGCAACCCCACGCTCCGCACACTCAGGCTCATCACCCCGAGGAGGACGAGAGTCGACACCTACCTCGACAGGCTCAACCGGGTCTAGCTGGGACACACTTGAGGGAGCGGCACCCTGAGGGGGGAGGGGGTCTACCGTAGCAGCACCTGGCGCGAGGAAGAGAGGCGGTGGAGGGAGCAGGGCAGTGCGGTAGGGGAAGAGGCGGTAGGGGAAGAGGCGGTAGAAGGGTACCGACTCGTCAAAGGTGACGTCCTGAGAGGCGAGGACACGGCGTGAGGCGGCGTGGTAAAACTGCCAACCAGACGCGTCTGGGACGAAGCCAAGGAAGACACACAGAACAGTACAGGAGGAGAGCTTGTCCGCTGACGTATCGCGAACAAAAGCTCGAGATCCCAAGACCCGGAAACGCGACGCATCGCCAACCTCTCCTCACAACAGCTGCGTGAGTGCCAGAGGACTGTCTCGTGCGCCAAAGAGCGGCACGAGCAGGGGGCCGACAGCTGACCTGACGCAGACGCAGACGCAGCTACCTGAGGGGACTCAGTAGTCAGTGTGTACAGGTCCGACCCCGGCTGCCGTGTGAAGGTCACCATGTGACGGCCTGTCCGAGCACACGTGCAGTGTGTCACGCGCTCGTAGGCAGGGGTGAACTGGTAGACACCCCTGTCCTGGAGCGCACTACCCGCCACCAAGTTCGTAGAGAACGAGGGGAGGTAGAGACCGGAGAGTGTGCCTGACAGGACGGCCGGACAGGGGAGGACAGTGGAGGAGGTCGCAAGGACTGGACCCCCAGAGGGGTCAGCGAGAGAGACTGCAACGGGCCGAGCAAGCTGCTCAAGAGCCGTGCGGTCACGAAAGAAACAGCGGG